CTTGGTGAATTATCAGGTACTTGAATAAGGTGCATGCTAAACACATGACAACACAGCACAAGATAATACACCAGTTTGTTGAAATGACAAGCATGTATTTTGTCTCCATTCTGGAATGAAAAACTTGGAGAAGGTGCCCTCTAGTGGCAAAAGCAATACATTCCATTGACAATGAGAGGATTTTTCATTTCATTATTTTATTATTAATCTGTTCTGTTTCTTCCTTTCTACCAAGATTGGCATCCAAGGTAGCGTACCAAATTAAAATGGGTGTGTGCATGTGTGTGTAAGAATCATAAAAATCGGGGAGGCTCATCCTGGTCCCAAGATGTACAAGGCTTTTTGTGTCATAATCAACACTTTAAATTCTACCTGGAAACAGACCAATAGTTGGTGAAACTGTTGTAATGAAGGAGTCCTGAGCTCCCTATAACTAGCTACAATGAGCAGGCTGACAACAGCATTCTGGACCAGCTGAAGTTTTTGAACAGTTCTCAAAGACAACCCCAGGTAGAACATTCATTTGTTAGATTTATATGAAAGAACTCAAAGCAGCTTACATAATTCTCTTCCTCCTGTTTTTAATCTTATCCCTACAACAACAACACCGTGAGGTAGGGATGAGTGCTCAAGCAGTCCAAATGGAGTCCAACAGTTTCATGTATACATTAAATAGCATGGAGAATAAATGGAGTCCAGAAGTCCAGTGGTTTCACATATATATTATATAGCATAGAGAATAGGATAAGATCCCACAGACCAATGGCTGCAAGGTCAAATAGAAATCACCCAGCAGCACCTCCTGAGATGGTCTCTTGATGAGGAACAGAACCACGGTATAACAGTGCTTTCCAGGAGACCATGGTTGATGGTATCAAGGGGAACCCAAGGCCAGCAGATCTAACAGAGACCCTCTCTCAGTCTCTGCCTGTAAATAGGCCTGAAGCCAGCATGAAATGGAGTTAGAGCTAGATTTCCAAGTAAGCAAATTAGTAGTTGAATCATGGCACAAGCTTTTATGCGCCAGAATTCACATGGGCATTATTTACAATAGGCATTTTTACAAGCACTGTAATGTCTGACTCACATGACGCTCACCTCAATCCATCCTCTTGATGCTCTTTCTGATATTTTGTCATGGCTTTTTTCAGACCAGTTATACCATGGCTTTTGAAGTATGCTGCCTTTTTATCTATCATCTATCAATCATCTACCTATTGTGCATACTAAACTTGCTGTGCTGTTCTGAGGCCAGAAGTCACAGCATCAGTAGACCAGTACGACTGAGGAAGGGCCCACTTGTTGCTTTGGCAAAAGAACAGCAGGTCTGAGAGCCTTCAGTTGCTTTCCCGCCTTCCTTATGGCTTCTCTCTCACTTCTTTCTCTCTGACTTGTCCAGTGAGCTAGGCAGCAAACACAATGCTGTTTTTATCTTGTCCTATGGCAAAATACGGGTTATGTTTTTTCATACCTGAGGACACATGTAAGTAACTCATATTATCACATTGGCTTAGCATGTGCTCCAACTGTGATCCATGCTTTTTTCATAAATACCAAGACTCTGCTCCCTTTTAAACAGAAGGGCATCTAGTGTAGGTCTCCCTTTGGTCAGATGCATGAAGCAAACACTTAAGCTGGCAAGTTTATACTCCCTGAAAATGTTGTTTACAAAGGGAATCCCTTTCTGCAGTAACCCCTTTGACCACCCAAGCTGCTCCTTAAAGTCAAGGGATCCACAGGAACACTTTGTCACACAATTCAAGGGATTCATGCAAGCAGTTTTGCAGCAGGAAAGTGCTTTCTGCTCACATCTATGGGGTAGGCACTATACCCGTTTTTCCACTGCCTGAAAACACCACTATATTTATTAGTGAAGTAAAACATTTGAAATAGTGACAAACAGGTCATTTCCTCCCACATTCAGTTTTAAAAAAAAACCTCTCAGGTATTCCCCATCCTTTTTTCTTCTTTTTCTGAAGAATCATGTGAATCTTGGTACATATTTATTATTATTATTATTATTATTATTATTATTATTATTATTATTACTATAACATTTCTCCCATGCCGAGTTTGAAAGGTGATGCAAAGGGCTGGTAAGCAGGCTTGGGACCATCTTGTCAGTTGTCCCACACCATGGGGCCAAATTCAAATCATCATCATTCCTCTATTCCCTAAAGCTGCATTCAGCCCAACTGGCTTTGCTCAATTGTCTTTCTATAGTGTGCTTGAATAGATGTTTAAAGACATGTTTAAAAGAAGTTTTCCACAGGCATTTCTGGAAACTGTGTGTGCGCACATAAGTGTAAATGACTGAATTCACAGCCTTTTGATCCTGTAGTTCCAAAGATATTCCTAGACTAGTTCAAACCAGAATGCAGAATTTCAACACCGTGAACCCTTTACCTTATGTGCAGTCCTTATATAGGTCAAAACAGACATTACTTTAAAAGTGTGTGAAGCAGCTACCTTTTTTTCTGCTTTTTACTGCAGAGCAAGTATATTCCTCCCTCCACCCTCCCACTGCACCTGGATCCAAGTGTGGAGTATAGGGATTTTAAAGATCCAGACTGGGGTTCTTGTAGTTGGTCTAAAGCAGGGATCGGCAACCTTTAACACTCAAAGAGCCATTTGGACCCGTTTCCCACACAAAAGAAAACACCGGGAGCCGCAAAACCCTTTTGACATCTAAAATGAAGATAACACTGCATATATCTTTTCTATCTTAATACTATGTATATCTTCATTATGATTTAGCTGCAGCTCTTGTTCAGTCACTAAAAACTTATTTTTAATCTTACATTATAAACTAGTAGGACTCCTTTCATATATTTTGAATAGGAGAACAGCTTCCTGAAGAGTCAAAGTCAGTGCTAAAGGGCTGCATGTATTAAACAGCAAACCCCATCAGTTCGTCAGCAGTAAAAGCAAATGAATCTACCCACGTATCATTAAACGTTTGGTTTTCTTCAGAAACTTTTCTTTTCTTTATCCATGGTTGGCGGGGGGCGGGGAGTGTTCAGTAAATCTGCGAGGATCCGCAGGCAGATATAGGTGTGTTTAGTGACTGATCAACAGATAAACAGTCAAGTGCTGTGAATTGTGCCAGGTCCCAAGCGCAGCTTTTAACATTCAGATGAAGGAGATTACACTGAGACAAAGAGAATCCTTTCAGCAGGGTTCATGTAACATGAGAGCCTGCAGGAAGCTTGTTTAGCAGAGGAATGTAGCGAGTTACTTAACTAACTGATTTACTTAACTAGCTAGCGCTGCGTTCCTGAGTGGAGCTTCGAGCAGATCAGCGGCTGTGCCTGCGCGTGTTTTGAGCGACGGAGTGAAAATGAAAAGAAGGTGCAGCCACTCAGCATACACTTAAAGTCGTGCCTGTTTTGGCTGTGCATCTTATACCACAGGAAAGTCTTGTAAAAAAATGAACCTTGTGTTAGCAGCTGTGTATGTGTTTTATCATTTTTATTTTACATTTAATTAAATTTTCCCTTTATCATCAGTGTTATTATTAGTTTCCACCCTTAGTGCCAATGGCAGGCTATATATTGAATAAATCACACCATTAATGAAATAATCCAAAACAGAGTTTACTAGCCACATTATGTGACTCGTGAATAAACCATCCATTATGGGATGCTGCTTGCAGCTTGGGACTGGAGAAACAGAGGGGCGGATGGAGCTGTTATGCATATGGTAAGTTGCACTAGAAAGGTGGTGAGTTGTACTTGGCTTAATGGCTAATACGTTAGTAGCCTCTATAAAATCAAACAAATCCATATTGATTCAGCTGAGGAAGCACTATGCAGTCTTATATATTAGCTGTATGGATGCCAGCAGTGACTTGCACTGTTTCATCCAAAGCAGACTCTCACAGCCGGCAAATAGGGCACAGCTGGCTTTTCTTATCCCCAGATACCTACCCCAAGATCATCCTTTTTTCTTTTCAGGGGAGGTTGGTGGCTCCTGGCCCAGTAGGCCCCATGGTGGTGAATGCATTTTGGGAATGGAGTTCAGTACCATGAATAACTCCTATTAAACTGAAAAGAACATCTGGAATGGATGAGGAACCCCACTGACCAGGAGTCACCAGCCTTCTGTTTCTTGGCTGCTAAGGTCTGGCATGTGAGTCTTCGAGCAGCTCTGACTTACCCTGTCTGCTAGTCCAATGGAAATGCCTCCACGCAGCTGCATCCTGATCTAAGCGTAAAGCTTGCTGGTGTACTCTTGAGCTAACTTAGCTAAGGATGAGCTTTCTTAGTGCATGGGTCGTGGGATCAGATTAAGCACATTTTATCCTTAAGATTCTGGCTGTAGGTGGGGATATCATCTTTAAAAAAAGCCCAACTTACCATCAATAAAGGAAAATTAATTTATTGACATCAATACTGGAAAATTAATTTAATCTGCACTCTCTGCTTACTGCTGGTGAAAAATGTTAACATTGCATGTATGTTTCAGCAAGGTGGTAATTTTTGCCAAACTTCAGGCTGGACATCTTTAATGCCACAAAATACAGATCTGGAAACAAAACACAGATATTAATATTCTTCAGAACAGTTGAGTTAAAGCATGCATTCTTGTATACATTTTCTCATAAGTTGTGCATTTTTGTGCACATTTTCCCCACTGTATGCTTTATATGTGTATTATTTGATCTCATAACTATATCACAAAATTTGGAGAAGGATAATTGTGTTCCAGTCTGCTTGTTTGTTCAGGAAGTGCAAGTCATGCCGGTTTGAATGAAAATATGAACACAAGAAATGTCTCTACCATCTGTAACAGCAGGTTACCAGCAAGCAGGGAAAAAGGAACAGGGAAGACACAGGGGGCTGCCTCAGCTTTAATAAGTTACATGAAAACGTTTCTGCGACTATAAATAGGTATGAAATCTTCGGAATGAATTGACTCTAAGTCAGAAAGCAGTTACAAAAGAGGTAAATATGTAAAACAGTTCAACTCAAATGAACAGAATTCAAGCAGACATATGCTCAAATTTCTGTACTGGCATACCTGTAGGAATAGAGAAAAACATAGTGAAACTAGCACCTTCCAGAAATAAAAGTACAATAGTGCTTGCAGTTTGGAGGGCGGTATCCCACCTGGATTGTGTTACCCACGGTGGACCCGTAATTCATTCCATTTTGTCATATGATGACAAGCCCCTAGCCCTGTATCTGCAACGGGCAGCCTTGGGCAGCCTTCTTGGGTGGGCACTCATTGCTGCTGTCTGCCCTGCTCAGTATTTTACCATCTCCCACAATACTTGGAGCACCCAAAAAGGTGTAACTCTCAAGTCTCCTGGGAAATTTAGAATAATGGCATGAGAATGCCTTCAGCTGCTTTTGGGTAAGCCTGGAAAGGTATGAACAGCCAGGATGGCTGACACTTTGCCAAAGGTCCTTCATACTAGAACCTTTCATTCCATCATATCTGGACATATCTTTTTCACCAATTTCAAAAATACAGTAAATACTTACTTCTGGTCATTTTTTCCATATACTATAGTGACTTCTTGGGCTCTTACATAACCAGTAAGTTCCCAATCTGGATGCTTTGTTCACTGAAATTCAACTGCTATAAAATTTCCAGAAATATCTACGTTCAGAAATCTTGCATATCTATGGCTTGGGTAAAAGAATCCACTGCAAAGGAGTAAGGTAAGCCAAAACAAATTGTTACCAAAATAAAAAGCATATGGATATTTTCTGTCAGTAATCTAGTTTGATTCAAAACTAGCATTCTATGAAAAATTAGGGTAAAAGAAATATAATTTCTTTGGGGATAATTTTCTCCCCCTAATGCACGTGTGCACACACAAACTTTAAGCTGCAGTTGTAGTTTATTTAAGCTAGAAATTCTTAGGTGTGGTCTCTCTCACGCACTGTGTCTGTCTTTCTGCCTATCCTAACTGCAAGTTGCTGTTTTTTGCCAACCTTATCCCCAAACCTAATTTGTCACTTCAGAGGCCATCCACATCCATTAGGACTATGAAAATTATTTTGTCAGATACTGGACTCTAAACCCGAAGATTGTTTTGGCTGTACTCCTACACACATGGGAGTAGTCCCATTGAACTCAATGACAGTGCAATTAGATTGCATAGGATTGCATTTAATTATTTAAGCATTAATTCTGTGTACCTGGTGAGAAACCCAAGAATGTATAAGCTGTTACTTTATTTGTGGGTGGTCCTTTTCTTTCTGCATGGGATCACCCAAGTCAGGTATTAAAGAGAATAATGTACATATTCCCAATCATGTTTTTGGTCCTTGAACTAAAATTGGGGAGGCAATTAAATTAAGTTTTCAAACAGATTACAGGATTAATTTTATGGACTTTCAAGAAGGTGCACCATATGGAAGCAGTTTTGGATATGGAAGTATAATTGTCTTTAGGCTTCTGTTGCAAATCTAGTAAGTACAGCAAACCCCATACAAAGACTCCATACATTTGTGCCAACACGTTCCATTTAGCATAACTTCCATAGAAGGATGCCCTTCTCCGGGAACCCTCTGTGAATGATATTAAGAGGGTGAGTACCTGGAGGAGGGCTTTCTCTGCGGTGGCGCCCCATCTATGGAATGCGCTCCCCAGAGAGGTCCGTCAGGTGCCGTCATTATTTGTTTTTCGGCGCCAGGCTACAACCTTTTTATTTAAAACTTATTTTAATTGCTAAATTATTGAATTAATTAGGATTTTGAAATTAGCCAAGAATGCACTGGGGGGTTTTACATGTTTTTTCTTTTAAATTATATTATTATTATTATTTATGTATGTTTTTATGTATTTTTTGTGAGCCACCCCAAGGCTTTGTTGCAATGGGGGCGGCATAGAAATGTTTTAAATAAATAAATAACTTCTAAACTACAAAGGAAGTTGTTTTATGCTACAATACTACACCTATTACATAGAAGTTAAACCCCTCCAAAAATAATAGTACTCATGTTGTGATAAACCTATGCACACTTTTTTGGTATCTCATTGAACTTCACATGAGTTGCTCCTGAATATATACATTTAGAAATATCAATCTTCTGTAAAAACATTCCTGGATACCCACAGCTGTCCAGGTATTTTCACTACTGATATAGTGAATTACAAGTATTTCCATTCCAGTACAACAGAAGGTTAGATTGGGTGCACCTTTAGTGATTTCAGTCCCAATGTAAATACAAGTAAGATGAAAAACACATGGAAACTATCCTTTACAGGTAGTTTCTAGTGATGTTAAACCCACCTGGCAACTGGGTACTGCCTTCTGACATTGTTATTTCCAGTGAAGGCTAAAGTTATATTTCCTCTCAATGTTGGTGTTCCAATCAGTTTCACAGACACATGTATCCTCCAGCCTATGAAGGATCATAAGAAAATTAGTTCTATGTTGAATACAGAAAAAATAATAATCTGAAAGAAAAAGCTCATCTTTTAGTGCAGATATATTACTCTCTTTCTCACATAGCTTTTCAACTGTACTGTTTTGGAGTACCTGAATGCAACCTTCCCTCTAATTCCACTTAATGGAATTGTATCCTAGGACACTGTTTTAACTAGAGTTCTGTGGAACCACCATTTACTAAACCAGTGCAAATGGGTTAGCATTTCTGAGCGCTTTGCAGAGTTTCTGCAAAGGTTGCATCACTTTTAAGTAAGTAAGTTTGTGTGTGTGCGTTGTGTGTGGGGGGGTACATTTACCATTGATGAAGTGGCCAAATAGTCTTTACATCTTAAAAAAAATTGGGGAAGTCAAGATACTTCCTTCAGTGGTGGCGGCTGGTGATACTAAAATTGTTTTACAAATAGCAATGGATACATCTCTGAGTGACGATACAGCATCATTCCCACTGCCAAGACAAGATCAGGAACAGATTGCGGTAGGCATGACCATGAAGTATTCATATCAACAATCAAAATCAAGCTGTAAATATTAACCAACAGAAGCATAGTACCAAAAATACAAATTAATGACATTCAAATAAATGTCAAAATATTTATAACGTAATATTTCTGCAGAATTTAAATTCCACATGTAGAACAGATTCACATGATTGAACTCAACTGACTAAGCAGCAAAAACAAAACAAAACAGTGGGCTGAAACCAGAGAGCTTTTTAGGGAAGATTAAAAAAAGACGATTCCTGTAGCAAAAAGAAATAATTGCTATAGCCAGGGGAAAAGCAAAAACAAAGGATGAAGAAATAGAGTCAGGACCCTCAATGCAACTTTCCAGTGACTATCAAGTAGAAAAAAGAACTATACCAACAGGGGAATATACTATCTGACCAGGATAAACTAAAGATAATGTGGAAACAATATAAGGAAAAACTATACAAGGGTGATAGGCTTCTTCAAAGAGGAATTCTGGGAGGAAGAACCTGCAGTATTAGAAAGTGAAGTGAAAGCTGTTCTGAAAGTACTTGGAAGGAATAAGCACCCAGAGTAGGTAAGTAACAACTGCAATATTTCAAGCTGCAGAGACTGAATCAGTCCAGCTCCTAAAAGTAATATGCCAACAAATGTGACAAATAAAACAATGGCCCACAGGCTGGAAAGGTTCAATATACATTCCAGTCCCAAAGAGAGGAAATTCTAGGGAATACAGCAAGTAGAGGACTAATTTACCACATAAAATGATGCTCAGGGTGCTAGAATGAAAAAATGTATCCTCTGTGGAGCAAGAAATGCCTAAGGTTCAAACTGGATTCTGAAAAGATGAGGCACTTCAGATAATATTACAAATATACGTTGGCTACTGAAGTACACCAAAGAATTCAGAAGAAGATGATGAAACTATGCTTTATGGACCACATGAAAAGCTATGGATGGTTCTGAAAGAAATGGATATCCTCAGCACTTGTTTGTCCTGATGCACAACCCATATCAAGGACAAGAAACTACTGGTAGGACAGAATATGGATGAACAGAATGGTTTCCTATAGGCAAAGGTGACAGACAAGAGTGCATTTTCTCTGTCTGTACACAGAGTATAAGGGAAAGAAAATTAGTATCAAACAAGGAAGGAGTGTAAATTGGCAGAAGATATATCGATAATTTAAGATATGCAGATGATATCCTATTACTGGCAGAAATCAGCAGCAAATTGAAATGACCCCTGGTAAAAGTGAAAGAATTACAAAAACAGGACTGCAGTTGCACATTCAGAACAACAACAACACCCTCATGTCTACAGAAGAATTAAAGAACTTTCCTGTCAACAATGGAGAAATTGAAAGTGTAAAAAGTTTTGCATACCTCGAAGCAATCATCAGTTAAGAGACTGCAGTGAAGAAATTAGAATACTGAGATTTGGAAATACAGCAATGAAGGAACTAGATCACCAAGTATACAGATGTTTCACTGGAGGCCTGATCTTACACACCATTGTATTCCTGTTTGCTATGCAGGGTTGGAAAGCTGGACAGTGAAGAAAGTTGACAGGAAGAAAATGGATACATTTGAGAGCTGGAGGAGAGCTTTGTAAATACTCCAGACTGACAGAAGGACAAATAAGTGAGTCCTAGAGCATAGCAAGCCAGAACTTCCACTGGGAGTAAAATTGACAGAACTGAAGCTGTCATACTTTGGGAACATCTTAAGAAGGCTAAACTCACGAAGTCAATTACACTAGGGCAAGTTGAAGGAGGGGAAGACCAAATCTGAAATAGACTGATTCCATAAAGAAAGTCACATCCTTGCATTTAAGATGCTGTGCAGGGTTATCCAGGACAGGATATTTTGGAGGGAATTCATTTATGATGTCAACATAACTTGCAGATGACTTGATGGCATATGACAATAAGCCCTTGTTGAATATGAATGTGTGTTTTAAGAAAAAGACAGGAAGAGACACCTCATTATATTGTAACTACACCATCCATGCAAAAGTTCTTCCCTTCCCACCATACACCTGGATATTACCACTCTCCTCAGAAACTTCAGAACACTTATATAACCTCCAGGTTACCCCTCAAACCTATTGCTGGTGCTATATTTGATCCAGTTCAAGGTTTTTTTTTAACTAGATCACAGCCAAACAGTAAACCTTATACAAAACACAACTCCAATTTCTAATGCAATTACAAGACAATGTCTCCCCTTACTTGTCATTTTTCTAAGCTAAACAATCCCTGTTCCTCATACAGGTGTTACTCCAACCACTTCGTCATTTTAGTTACTTTTCTCTGCACTTTTTCCAACTCAGGGAGTTTTTTGGTATGATGACCAGAACTGTATACAATATTCTAAGTGCTATTGCACCAAAGATTTGTATAAGGAGAATACAGTCTCAGCAGTTTTATTTTCAATTCCTTTGCTAATTATGCCTGACATGGAGTTTGCCTTCTTCACAGGAGCTGAGCACCAGGTCAGCATTTTCACTGAGCTGTCCACCCCCTTCCTCTGATATTGCTTTCTTCTTCAGTCAGTCCTAGCTCAGTTCCCATCAGCTTATGCTTAAGGTTGGGCTATTCTGCCCCAGCAGGCCTTACTTTACACTTGCTTACACTGAACTACATCTGCCATTTTGATGCCCATTCTCCCAGCTTGGCGAGATCCCTTTGGAATACTTCACAATCCCTTTGGTTTTAACCACTAAATAGTTTGGTGTCATCAGCAGACTTGGCCACCTCACTGCTTATTCCTGATTCCAGATCATTTATGAATATGTTGAAAAGCACTAGTCCTAATACAGAACCCTGTGTGACTGCACCTTTTATATCCCTCAACTGGGAGAAATGTCCATTTATTCCCACTCTCTGCTTTCTGTTTCTCAACCAGTTACTGACTCATAAGAGGATCTCTGTTGCATTCCATGGCTGCTAAATTTGCTCAGCAATCTTTGGTGAGGGACTTTGTTGAAAGACTTTTGGAAGGGTCTATTAGATTGCCCTGTCCGTGTGTTTATTAACACTCTCAAAAAATTCTAATAGGTTCTTTAGAGCCAGAGTCTATCAGGGCCAATTGTCTAATTGGACCAGATGAAAATGAATCAGACAGAGAGCAGGGATCAAATCCTGAAGGACTTAGGGTTAGATGGCTGGTGCAGCTAGACAGATTGCTTGTCACATCACTGGCAAATGGACTATGTGCCACTGCAAACTTCACAGAATAAGGGCACAGTTCTGTGCATATTTTATTTTTATTTTATTTTATTTTTTGTATTTTTTGTGAGCCGCTCCGAGGCTTTGTTGCGATGGGGGTGGCATAGAAATGTTTTAAATAAATAAATAAATAAATAAATAAATAAATAAATAAATAAATATTTAAACAAAAAATCAAGCTGCATAGGATTGTACCTTAAATCTCTTTGTACTTGTGATGAGCTACTACAGAGGGCTAGCTTTTGTGTACATCACCCCTTCTGGCACGTGTTTTGCATATTTACAAACAGACTTCCCATGATGAACAGATTTCAGCAGATCTTGCCCACCTGGTTGCTTCAGAAACATCAGCTCAAGCATAGAGTAGCCAATATGTCCATTGACTGAAGTGATGGGTGTTACGATCCAACACATCTGGAAGGTACCAGGCTGAGGAAGGTTGGACTACAGGACTCATCTTTAGAATTAAATTGACATTTAAATGATATTTAAGCAAAATAAATTAGCACTTACGAGCAAATGGTGAGAAGGCACCTGTGTTTAAATAATACACTTGGTGCACCTCTTTTGTTTTATCTGCAAAATAATCAGCATAGTGACCCATCATTGGACAGCCTTCCTTTTGGCATGGAAAACATTTCCCCTAAGAATAGATATAAATTATATACACATACAAATATGTTATTTATTAGTTCTTTATTTGCACCGATGTGCCATAAACTGAAATATTCTGTTTCATTCAGTTTCCTCAAAGCCTGTATTTCCTTATGCCTTTTTATGCTTTAGTGTGCACCATCCTTCACAGTCCAGTATGGCTACCCATAACCCTTCAAGCACACAGGATTACAGGTAGCCAGTGGGGGAAGGTATGTGGAGGCAAAGGTCACTGGCACAATCCTCCCATCTTAGATGGCTGATTTTGGCTATCTCAGTCTTGGGCTTCAGGACATGAGCGGAGCCTCAAACACTGCCAGGTATATTATATGCTGGTAGAATCTAACTCTTCATCTCCACATCCTGCAAAACTCTGGCTTCAAGGTCTATGTTCCAATTGGCACACTTCTTTCCACACTCACTGTGAGGCCAGAGGGAGGGTGCTTCAATTTGTAGTCCCAGACCTGACCTCCAAGGGCATTAGCAAGTTCAGAGATGGGATTCCAATTTCTCTTATGGCCACTGGGACTCTAACAGCCATAAGATAGTGCCTCATTTAAGTAATATAGATTGATTGGTTTAGCAAGCATGTAAATCATATCTGCTTGTGATACTCACTGATATAAAGTCCTTGAAAGTATTACACTGGTATCCAAGAAATCCATCAGGTATATAAATACTTTCCATATAATAATGTAAGCTTCGCTTATGTGAGCATCGAGCTGATTTAGAAGACCCAATTTCTGGGGAAAAAATCCCAAATTATTATTTTCATTTGGGCAGCCAATTAAATAAATGTTTTAATTAATTCAATCAATGACTTCAATTGGATGGTGATGATTAGCATCATCAACCTCTTATTCAACAACCACCAGCACAGAAAAGGCTCTCTGGGTCCCGTGCAAAGATTAAGAGTGCCTCTGCCCTCCAGTTTACAATCTAAATAGCAAATCAACAGAAAAAGCAACAGGAAGGAAGATGGAGAAAGCAAATGCAAGCAGTGTTTCCTCATTACTAAGTTCTTGTTATTTCTGACAAAGAGGGTTTCTCCTTGAAGTTGCTCCTTCTCCAGCTGATGGATGGATTGAGCAGAGTGGCCTTCTTCTTGCCATGATGCTTTTCCTGGGATTCAGGGGAGCAACCTTCTGGCAGATTTGTATATTACTAAAATGTCAAAAAGGTGCCCTTCTGAAGAGATGGAAGGAGAACCTGAACTGGACAAAAAGTATAATTTTGCCCACACCACAAACCTAAATCTCTGAGATTGTCCTTGGAACCTTGGGGAAGCAGCTGGCATGTCTCCTTCCCCACTGGTTGTGGAGGAGGCAGGTGTTCTGAGCCTGAAGTCCCAGTCCCAATCTTGGAGCTAGTTTCCAAGGTCAGTGCCCAGGCTCCAAATAATCGGATGGTTGTTTAGATGTTGCCTGGAGGTCTTAGAATTGCACTGCTTGGTTGCAATCCTATACTTAGTTACTCAGGAACAGGAGCAACTGTCCTCAGTGAGGTTTACTTCTAGACACTGTGCTTAATATACTGAAGATGCTACATACAGGTGCCAAAATGTATACGCATTTTAAGAGGTTATCTATGTATTACTTCTCAAATTTGAATTGAATTAACAGTAGCAATGTGTAGGGACTGCAGGTGGCGCAGTGGTTTAAACCGCTGTGCTGCTGGGCTGGTTGATCGAAAGGTCACTGGTTGGATTCTGCACAACGGAGTGAGGTAGCAAAAGATGACAATCAAATGCATGCTAGTGTCGCCATACAACAGTTTTTAATACAGTTTTCTTCCTTTCTTAACATGTGCATACATTTTTGGCACCCTCTGTATATGATTATGTTTACCTCTCATAGCTCCACTGATATTGCACAACTTAGATGACTGGGGAAACTTTTTGCAGCCTGGCATTCTCTCTCCCCCATTTGGATAAAAATCAAGATGGCCACAGGGTTCAATGATTCCACGGGCTGAAATACAAATAAGATGAAGTTAAATATTCACATATCTATTGTCACATACAAGATTGCTCTACTGGAAAACTCACCAAAATCAAAAAACAGATGGCCAGCATTGGTGTGAATTACATCAACAAATGTTGCATCTGATGGATCTAGTCTGACTTCAGGAGGTGTGTTATGGAATAAAGGCCCAGCTGGATCCAAACCTGAACAAACAGAAATGGTTGTTCTGAGCTCCTGGATATAGAAAAGTATTTCCCATGCATACTATATTTAAAGTAAAATGGACTTTATAGTACAATGTACGCAAACTACTGGTGGCAGCAGAAAAATGGGATGTGGTACAGGGAGAGATTGGGGTGGAGCCATACAGAAGGGGCAAAGTGTAATTCTGGAAAAGGCTATCTTGTATGGCAAGTAAACAGCAAATGGTTTGCATCTTTAAACCTGCAACACCACAACACAAAATAAAATAGCTTACGATTTTCATAAAACTACAGAATATGCATTTATCACCCTCAACATGGTCAGAAGCATCCTTGTGCCAGAGATCCCAGGAACCCATGACAGTTTCCAATCTCAAAGCACAGTCCACTGTTTATTTAAATAAGTATACTCCAATATTTATTAATATTAAAAAGCATGCTGACTCTTAGAAAAAAAGCCTTTCTTTCAGATAAAGACCAGAGTTCAGCAATTGGGGAGCAGGGGGCGAGAGCCGTACTCCTCTACTCCAGCTTCTCTCTGCCTCTGCCTTGTTTTCTGGGAGGATCTACATCAGTTCTCCCTGGTGTGAAAGCATTGCATCATAGGTTGTTAATATTACTATTATTGCATGGTTAGAACTTCTCCTTCCTGTTCTCAGAGCTCATTTCATTTAGCCTGACACATCCTGGCACATCTGCATGCAACCACCACCACCCAACCCACATAGATCAAAACATACAGATTGTATGGAGAGATTTGTTTACACCACTCAGTACAGTAGCTCATGGATTCACCTCTCTGAGTTCAAATTTAAAGAGTGGTCATGTGGAATTTTTTTAGGAATGGTACTGTTTCTGTACCATAATTCAGGAACTAGTTTTGTCTAGAAAACTCTTATGAGAATGGATTCAGTCAGTCATATGAATGTTTCCCATACCAGTAGATTTTTAATAGTTAAATCCCCACCCATCAAATTATGTTGCTCATAAATTTTTATGTCAGAAGTTTTCATAAGTTTTGTCTCGGACTGTGCAACCTGTTATTCTGGTGAGGCCCCGTTTCCTTCTTCCAGCTTCCCCTCCAGCATGAGCCCCAAGACTATGCCCAATAATATGCACATTGGAAGGGGAGTATCCACAGTTTTTCTGTAGAAAAAGAAAAAAATGGATGGGAATGTTCAATACTCTGAACAAGGATATAACTAACAGTCAGGAAACGAGAGTAACAGCAGCAAGGGTCACATCTGCAATCACTCCAGGCCTGTAATTGTACATACCCTTCTTGAACTCTGCGGAATTATAAAGTTGCATAGGACTGGGCAGAAAGCAATTCATCATTAAAAAAAAACCCAGCCAAGAGTCTTGTGAAATCCTAAAGGCTAACAAATTTATTCCAGCATAAGCTTTCATGGACTCTTTCTTGCTTTTGCTACAGTTGTCTAACACTGGAAATCATAAGCTGGCGTATTTCCAATTGTGTACTCACTAACTGGTTCTTATTAACTGAATCTACTTGGCGTTGGGTGACCGAGACAGACTGGGGATTCTGTTGGTGTACCGTGCACCCTTCTGCCCAACAGACTCCCTGCCTGAGCTGATGGAGATCGTCTCGGATTTGGTCTTGAAGACTCCCAGGATGTTGGTCCTGGGGCACTTCAATCTCCACGCCGAGACGGTTCTGACCGGGGCGGCTCAGGACTTCATGGCCTCCATGGCGGCCATGGGGCTGTCTCAACACGTCATTGGCCTGACCCATGAATGTGGACACACTCTGGACCTGGTTTTCTCGACAGGGCAGGAAGAGGGTGATCTGAGGGTGAGGAACTTGTGTCTGACACCCCTGTCATGGTCAGATCACTTCCTTGTGAGGGTTGAGCTTGAGAGCGGCCTTTCCCTCTGCAAGGGTGTGGACCCGATTGTGCTGGTCTGCCCCCAGAGCCGGATGGATCCGGATGGATTCCTGAAGGCCCTGGAGGATTTCCTGGCTGATAAGGCTGGTGCTCCTGTTGATGCCTTGGTCGAACTATGGAATGGGGAAATGACCAGGACTATTGACACGATCACTCCTAAGCATCCTCCCCCACCTGGCAGAGCCCATTAATCCCCTTGGTATACACCTGAATTACGGGCGATGAAGCAGGTTGGGAGTGATAGGTGTAGAGTGTAGGTGTAGGTGGAGGAAATCACAGAATGAATCTGACCAAACACACTTGAGAGCCCATTATTGGGCCTATGCTGTGGCAGTGAGGGCGGCAAAGAAGAAATTCTTCTCTGCTTCCATTGCCTCCTCACAATGCTGTCCGGCAGAGCTCTTTTGGGTGGTACAGGGGCTGGTACACCCGGGCCCAAAGAAAGATCTTGTACCATCCTCGAAGGCCCGCTGTGATGACTTCGCCAAGCATTTTAGGGAGAAAATCACTCAGATTCATCACGAGCTGGACTCTACTAGTGAATCAGATTCTACTGAGGAGGTGCCAATGTTACCGTCTGGTCCACAATTGATGGATGAGTTCCAGTTGTTGTGGCCTGATGTGGACAAGGTGCTTGGACAAGTACGTCCTACCACCTACTTACTGGACCCGTGCCCATCTTGGCTACTCAAGAAAGCCAAGGACGGGATTGGGACCTGGATCTTGGAGGTAGTCAATGCCTGTCCCTTTAAAGGAGGCGTACCTGTCTCTTTAAAGGAGGTGGTAGTCTGGCCAGTTCTAAAGAAGGCATCCCTGGATCCTGAGATGGCTGCCAATTATAGACCGGTGGCCAACATCCCATTCTTGGGCAAGATGTTAGAGCGCGTGGTGGCGGGACAACTCCAAGCACTCTTGGATGAAACTGATTATCTGGACCCATTTCAGTCCGGCTTCAGACCTGGGTATGGTACTGAATCTGCCTTGGTCACCCTGTACGATGACCTGTGCAGGGAGAGGGACGGGGAGTGCGTCCCTCTTGGTTCTCCTGGACCTCTCAGTGGCTTTCGATACCATCAACCATGGTATCCTTCTGGATAGGCTAGCGGGATTGGGGGTTGGAGGCACTGCTTTGCAGTGGTTCTGCTCCTATCTCAATGGCCGATTCCAGAAGGTGGTGCTGGGGCCATGGCAGCTATGCCATGGAGTTCCACAGGGGTCCATTTTGTCCCCCTTGCTATTTAACATCTACATGAAACTGCTGGGAGAGGTCATTAGGAGGTGTGGGCTGTGGAATCATCAGTATGCTGATGATACCCAGCTCTACCTCTCATTCTCAACTAATCCAGGTGAGGCGGTGGCTGTACTGAACCGGTGCCTGGCCGAGGTAATGG